TTCTAAAAAATTGTACTTCGCTTGGTCGAAGCGACCTACTGACCGTGTCGGGACGGACCCGGACTTATGCCTACGGTCGTAGGGCTTCTTGGCCTACCAACCATGTCGGGACGGACCCGGGCTTATGCCTACCCTAGTAGGGCTTCTTGGTCTACCAACCATCCCGGGACGGACCCGGGCTTATGCCTACCCTCGTAGGGCTTCTTGGCCTACCGACTGTGCCGGGACGGACCCAGACTTATGCCTACCCTTGTAGGGCTTCTTGATTTACCGACCGTGCCGGGACGGACCCGAACTTATGCCTAACCTCGTAGGGCTTCTTGGCCTACTGACCATGCCGGGACAGACCCGAGCTTATGCCTACCCTCGTAGGGCTTCTTGGTCTACCAACCATGCCGGGACGGACCTGGACTTATGCCTACCCTCGTAGGGCTTCTTGATCTACCGACCGTACCGGGACGGACCCGGACTTATGCGTAACCTCGTAGGGCTTCTTGGCCTACTGACCATGCCGGGACAGACCCGAGCTTATGCCTACCCTCGTAGGGCTTCTTGATCTACCGACCATGCCGGGACGGACCCAGACTTATGCCGATGATGGCAAGACCGATCTAACCGGGCTTTAAGTGCCACGGGTGAAAATACCAACCTAACCAAGCTTAATATACATATATTTTCCTATTACAATTTTCTAAGTACAATTACAAGGAATTTAACCTATACAATTTTTACAAATTAAAAATCCAAGTCATGATCTTGGGCTTATTTTGTACAGACTGTGCCACGTGCAAGAAAATATGCTGACGCATGGCATTTCCGATCGTCGGCCAATAGGGACTTCCTGATCAGCGGATTTAACCGGGTACCGACCATATGCATAGTCACATGCAGAGTAAGCTGCGTATTTCCACCGCCGACCACTGCCCCTTTAAAAAGATAAAAACCCAGCCGTCCGTAGATGTGCTTATTTGCTCGGAATAATCGACCGGGAAACAATGCGGACTCGGGAAGGGTTTTTGTTCTGTTGCGCTCTTTTGCTTGACAAATGGCGAGGATCGAGTGGTTTCGCTAATTTGGAGGAGGTCGGGAACTAAACGAGCGGCTCATCGTGAAGGTGCAAAGCTGGATTCCGGGCACTTAGGAAGCAGCCCTCTGTTCCGGAAAAGCGCAAGGCTTTATTCGATCATGAGTGTGTCTACAGCTTTGTCCAAAAACGCGCCAACCTTCCTTGCTGAGGATTTAAAGCAGGATCCGAAGATGGACAAGGGGGAGTAAGAGGGCATACATGGCGATTCTTTTGGGTGAAACGCGCTGAGGAGAGGTGCTCTGGACCTCAAGGACATCTTACTGCTCCAGGAAGAGGAGTATGAATAACAGGCTGGTAAAGGATGTCGCTAGCAGCAACGTCTAAGCCCCCCAGCCAACTGGCCCTCACCGAATCAAATATGAATGAACAGAGATGGTAAATCAACGAGCGAAGTGGTGTAACAGTCGGGACGTTAGCCCAGTAGTTTGGGCACTCAGGTTCGAACCTTCCTCCCTCTCCAGAACTTCTATATAGTTTTCCGAGAACCAATAAACAGTGTAGTCCAGTGGTTGAGAGGTGCTGGCTTGAGCCCTCCTATTTCGGATTTCTCTATAGTTTTTCTTTGTTGGTAGGAATGTAACTCTTTGCCACGGTTCCACAGATGGCGCCATTTAATGTGGATAATTACCCGAAATATATACATTATGTATAAAGTATAGTGTATGTATGAATAAAGTAGAGAATATGCCAAAGAAAATTCTTTTATTCATAATTGTGTGTTTGTAGAGAGAGGGGAGAGTATTTAGAGAGTAATACACTTTTAGAGAGAGTGTGTGTAGAGTGGAAGAGGAGGCCCCAAAATGGAGGGCCAAAACCCCTTTTATAGGCCAAGCGTAGGCGGGTTTGACTTTGACCAGTGGACCAAGACCCGAACCGTTTGACCCCGATCCAAACAGGAGCACGGAGCGTACGGGGAGCCTGAACTCGGGGTATATTCCCCATCAAGTAGTATAACGCCCGAAGAGTGCTAACTGTTTTGATAGAAAAGAGCAATTAAGGCATACAAATCAAAACTCGCTAAATAAATATATACACCAGAATGTGTCATGAAAATACAAAAAATGTAATAAAAGGCGAGTTGAGAGTTTTCGCAAAGACCCAATATTGGTCATGGCATTATATTCTGCTATTTGATAAACTAGCAGTAAATAAATTATATATGTAGCTAATAGACATAGTTACCGCATGTTTATATGGGTAACCGATTACTTATTCTTATTTTAAAATTCCCTTATGAATTTTCTAAAAATATGATGAACAAAAATCACAAAGTGTAAAATCATTGACTATGGTCCTTCTTATAACTTAATATAGCCTATAAATTGACTAAGTATTTTTCTTCCTGAAGACGAAAGTGTGGATAATGAAAGTGTATTATCGTAATCTACATTCATATTAGAACATGTATAAAACATGTCTAGAAATGGTATGTGTGCTTACTCAAGTATTGTTTCTTGGAAGGATTCCTATCAGCTTACCTGAAAATGTCTTGAATATATTGTATACCTTTTCAGTATATTAATTGTTGTCCAAATATCTCGAAGTACATAAGGACTTATTTAATTAAAACTAAAATGATATTTCTTTTTATTTATTGTCATTTGATGCTTCTTTTGTGCCAATTGAATGGACAAAAGTTATCATACTTGGTATACAATCCAAATGTATATAATTCTTTTACCCACATAAACTCTAGAAGAGTGGTAAAATATCTATGTGAGTACAGTTGATATTTTATATATTATTATTTGTATAATACATGGTTGTATTTATGTTGTGATAGAATAGTCTACAGTAGTTATAGTGTGATGCTATATTAGTCAGGTGTAGGTTAGAGTTTAATATCTTATATAACTCTGTAATTCCTATTATTCAGTTAATGATTGAATCGACTTCTCTAATCTGGTATCAATCAGGTTGCGATTCTCTCTCTCTACCTCCACCGCATAATCGCTTCCCCTTCTCACCCTCTCTCTTCGGCCATGTCGATGAACTCATCGGAGCACACCGTCTCCGCCGCCGGGACTCCCTTACCGGCCGGTGATGGCTCTTTCGCCGGAGCTCATCATTATGTATCAATGAAGCTTATGTCCAGAAATTTTCTATTCTGGCGTAAGCAATTGATACCGTTTCTCCGAGGTCAGGAGCTTCTGGGCTTCGTCGATGGTTCATTCCCGTGTCCGCCGGCGACCATCGGTGCCCCTCGGTCCTCCGGCGACTCCTCCAGTGCAGTAGTGGCGACGTCAACTCCAAATCCCGCGTACAGTGCTTGGGTGAAGCAGGATCAATCGATCCTTTCGCTTCTGGTGTCGTCCATGTCCGACGAAGTCTTGCACTTGGCACTCGGCCGGAACACCACTGCCGAGGTCTGGACCTCCATCACGAACGCCCTTGGCTCCTCAAGTCAGGCCCGATGCTTGAACTTGTTGGGGCAGATACAGATGCTTCGCCAGGGTAACTCCACTACCGCCGATTACCTGGGGCGTGCTGGGTTCTGGTCGAATCACGGGTGCAAGCTGGCCGTCCCCTCACGCTCATGGAGCAGAACCTATACGTGCTACGTAGACTCCGGCCAGAACTGAAGACCCTTGCTGCCTCCCTCACCGCTTCTGGAAATCCAGTGACCCTCTCTCATTTATCGGATTTTTTGCAAGCCTATGAATTCATTCTGGTTGATGACTACCCCACGGCGGAAGGAAGAGCGGCACATACAGCCTTGTATACCAATCCCGGTCGCGGCCAGAACCATGGTGGCGGACGGACTGGACAGTCGGCTCCAAGCCACAGCGGTAGGCAGGGCTGTGGACAGAATAGGGGCGGTCGTGGTGGACGTGGAGCACCGCGATGTCAGATATACCGGTCTCACGGTCACACTGCGGTGTACTACTACAAACGGTACACTACTCAACCACCGGCGCAAGCTCACGTGGCATTATCTGGCGAACCACCGGCGGCGGCAGCGACTCCTCCGGCCGACGGGTGGTATCCGGACACTGGCGCGACAGCACATGCTACGCCGGATGCAGGAATGATGACACATGCGGATGAGTACGGAGGTCCTGATGTCCTCCGGGTTGGTAATGGCGCAGGTTTGGCAATCTCACAAGTCGGTCATGCATCAATCCATCTGCGTCCAAATCATTAAAATTAAATAATATCTTGCATGTCCCGAATTTATCTGTTCCTTTGTTATCAGTACATAAGTAGCATAAATTTACTACTGAATGATAATGATGTTTTTTTTGAATTTCACAATTCTTGTTTTATTGTGAAGGACTCCACAACCAAAGTGGTCCTGCTTAGAGGTCCCACTACGGGTGGTCTGTACAAGCTTCTGCTGTTTCTGTCAATTGTCGATCCAACTTCATTGATCATAATCTATCACCCAGTAACCAACTGAACTATTGGTATGAGCGCATCCTGCCATTTACTAGTAGCACCATAATGACATTATAGGACTTTGTCAATTCCTTCCTCTTAAGTGGTAACAAAGTCTCATAAAATGACAAGGTGAATCACTTACATATAAATTCTTCATTTTTAATATGTTATAATAAGTTCAGTTTTACTATAAAAATTGTAAATGTTATAGTAACTTTTTAGTAAATGGTAATGATTAGATTTCAAAACCGATATAAATATATATCGCCGTGTTCATTACATCAAATCAGTGCGTTGAAATTTATGTTAAAGAATACTTGCTAACCAAAAAGAAAATAAAATCTTGAATTAAAAAATTTTCCTGGAAAAGCAAATGGTTGATCATACATTGAATTGTACACCAATAATAAGGTAGTATAATGCCAATCTAAACCCTAAGAACAAGCAAAGAGAAACTTTGGACGACCATAGCTCCTTTTAGTTTAACACGAATTATCAGCACCAGCTTAACTCACTGACTTAGGAGGCCGGTTTAACACGGGCTATCTTCGGATGGGTCAAGAAGCTCCGGCTCAATCTTACTTCTGCAAAGCGGGCAAGCCGAGTGCTTAGACAGCCACGTATCGGCGCATTGCAGATGGAACACATGCTTACACCCGGGAACCATCCGAGCCACCTGATCGCTCTCGATTCCATCCAAACACACAGCACAATCATTCCCCACCGCCAAGCCATCGCCTCTGATTCTCGGTAGCCTCTCCAGTTGCGCCGCCGTGAGCCCCATTTCTCCACCGTCCTTCACCGCCTCCACTGCCGCCTCGCCGGCGTTGCCGCCGCCCCGGTGCTTCGTCAAGTAACAAAACGACCATATGTAAACCAACGAGAGCGCCAAAATGGTAACGCACAGTAGAAGCACTAACCCCACAACCCCAGAAGACGACAT